TCCATAGCATCTCTAGGTTGGATTTCTTGTTTGACATCATTTTTATCCAGAGCAATCTGTTTCACATTCTGCTGCCAGGCTCTTGACAGTCGTTTGAAGACTAGGATTAAGAGAAGAGAGAGAATCATAAACTCTAGTTTAATTGTCCTGCCTTGTCTTTGACAGATAGTAAGATCTCATTTATTCTACCAAATAAAGAGTGAAGGCTAAAGACAGGTTATATTATTCCTAAATTTCACATATTTGAGAATAGGTTTTGTTTCTATTTTGTGTCTAGAACTGCTGCTACCTAGGAAACAGTCATAAGATTCCTCTTTATTTGTTAACAGAAGACCAAAACAACAAAATCTAAACCAAAAATAAAACCAAAACTGATCAATCCCTATTGTATCTAGCAGATCCAGGTTAGATGCATAGGCAGAGCCAGTAATATTAATACCTAGAAGAGATCAGGATGAACTCTTCAAAGCCTGCCTTCCTATTATCCTCTTTGGGGATCAGGCCTGGTCTGGGTCCTGTTTCTTAAAAAAATAAATAAAATAATAATTCCCTGTAGTCTGGTTCTCCTTTTTTTTTTTCCTTCTGAAGTGCAGGAAACGTAATTTTTTTTTTTTTTTTTTTTGAGTTGGAGTCTCAATTTGCTGGAGTGCAGCAGCACTCTCACGGCCACCCCAGCATCCATCTGCTAAGCTCCAACAATCCTTCTCCTTCAACCTTCCAAGTAGCCGGAACTACAGGCATGCACTACCACGCCTGGCTAATTTTTTATTTATTGTAGAGACGAGGTCTCTCCAAGTTGCCTGGGCTGGTCTTGAACCCCTGGGCTCAGGCAATCCTCTCGCCTCAGCCTCCCAGAGTGCTGGGTTTACAGGCTTGAGCCACCGCTCCTGGCCAATCTTTCTTTCACATAATATTTCTGAGAGTGCAGTAGTCAAGGCTGATTAGTCATTTTTACTGTGTGATTGCTTAGTTTTTATTTTGTTTTTGAGTCAGGGTCTCCATTCTTGAGGGCAGTGGCATGATCATGGCCCATTGCAACCTCGAGGTCCTGGGCTTGGGCGATCCTCTTGCCTCAATCTCCTGAGTAGCTGTGTGCTGCCACACCCAGCTAATTTTTTGATTTATTGTAGAGACAAGTTCTCGCCGTGTTGCCCAGGCTGGTCTCAAACCTGCAGGCTCAGGCAATTCTCTCACCTCTGCTTCCCAAAGTGCTGGGTTTACAGGCGTGAACCACCACACCCAGCCTTGAATACCTTTTTTGGGATACAAATTGTGTGTCTTTACTCTCATTTGTGATGTATTCATTTTATTCGTGAGATCTTTTATTATATAGAAATTTTAAATTCTGTTTTCTGATTTTTTTATACAAATATATATCTGTAGATTTGATTTTAGATACTCTATCAATTTTGTCTCTCAGGGTAGACAGGACATTTTGATTTATAGACACCACAAGCACCTAATTTATGGTCAACTTTTCTATTTCAATAATAAAAAAGAAATGTGACTTTAAGTATGAAAACCAAAAGTATCTGATGCCTTGCGTCATCAATTTTATGATTTGATGGGATTTATAATTATTAGTTTTTCTGAGTAAACATTAATAGCTACCAAAATGTTTCAAAATACTTTGTCAGTTTTTTTTTTTTTTTTTTTTTGAGTCAGGGTCTCACTCTGTTGCCCAGGCTAAAGTGCAGTGGCACCATCATAGTTCACTGCAGCCTTGACCTTCTGGGGATAGGCAGTCCTCCCACCTCAGTTTCCCCAGTAGCAGGGACTACAGGTACATGCTACCATGCCTCGCTAGTTTTTTTGTTTTGTTTCATTTAGAGATGAGGTCTTTCTGTGTTGCTAAAAATTCTTTGTTGCCTGGATAAGATTCATTTGAATCTAGAAGATCGTCAAATAAGGAAGTCAGATTGAAGTACTGATGATCTGAGAGATAAGAGATAAAGTTTGGCTCAGCCTGTAATCCCGCGCCTTTGGGAGGCTGAGGTGAGTGGATTGCCTGAGCCCACGGGTTCGAGACCCGCCTGGGCAGCGAGATCTCATCTCTACAATAAATCAAAAAATCAGCTGGGCGTGGTAGCGCATGCCTGTAATTCCGGCTACTTGGAAGGCTGAGGCGGAAGGATCACTGGAGCCTAGCAAGTCAAGGCTGCGGTGGCCGGAAGCGGCCACTGCACTCCAGTCTGGGCGACAGAGTGAGACTACAACTCAAAAAAAAAAAAAGAGATAAAGTTTATTGTTCAAACTGCTAGATATGTCTAGTATGCAGTTAAAATATAATCTGAAATTCAGGAGAGGAGTTAGTGCTAGAGATGTATACTTAAAAATCATTAAGTCCAGTTGGGTGTGGTGGCTCATGCCTGTAATCCCAGTACTTTGGGAGGTGGAGGAGAGAGGATTGCCTGAACCCAGTACTTTGGGAGGTGGAGGAGAGAGGATTGCCTGAGACCAGCCTGGGCAACTTTGCAAGACCTCGTCTCTATAATAAATCAAAAAGTTAGTCAAGCATGGTGGTGCATGCCTGTGGTTCCAGCTACTTGGAAGGATAAGGGGGAAGGATTGCCTGAGCCTGTAGGTTGAGGGTGTGGTGGCCCTGAGCATGCCACCACACTCCAGCCTGGGTGACACAGTGAGACTCCAACTCAAAAATCAACAACAACAAAAAAAACACTTTGAGTCCAGAAGATATTGTTGAAACCTAGATAATAAATGTATTATTCTTCAAAGAGGAGCACAGAAAAAGGACATACAGAGATGTAGAGTGCTGTAGCTACATTTAGGAGTCAAAAGAAATCAGCTGAGGAGACAGATGTTAGATCCTTTACCTGTCATTAATAATGTCATGGCTCAGCCTATAATCCCATGCTTTGGGAGGACGAGGTGAGTGAGTTGCCTGAGCCTGCAGGTTCGAGACCTGCCTGGGCAACTTGGCGAGACCTCATCCCTACAATAAATCAAAAATTAGCCGGGCGTGGTAGCGCGCACCTGTAGTTCCAGCCACTAGAAAGGCTGAGGCGGAAGGATCGCCGGAGCCCAGCAGGTTGAGGCTGCGATGGCCGGGAGTGGCCACTGCACTCCAGTCTGGGCGACAGAGTGAGACTCCAACTCAAAACAAAACAGAACAAAACAATGTCATGAGATACATGGTAGTTTTCTAATTTTACAGTTGGGTAAAAGATGAATTCACATAATATTGAATAGCTAATAGATGGTAAGCACTGTTATTTGAGACCAGGTCTTTACTACTCCAGAATCTGTATTCATCCATTACATGTCTCTGCTTATAAACAATAGGGGAGCAGTCACTAAGGATGAAGTAGTCTTGGTGTGAAATGAATTTTTAGGGTGTTTGAAGGCTTGTGAGTGGTGCCTGGATTTGCCAGTTCTGTTGTTATTGGTCTTATGGATGAAAACCTTTGCTGTAGTAGGAGGATGGAAGGTAATGGAGTTCAGTCACTCCAGGATACCATTTTGTGAGGTTTAGTGGTACAACGTAAGATACAGAAGAGGAGCTTGAAGGGCTTTACTACTTTTTTGTTTGCTTAGGGTTGGGGATGCAGAAAGTTCTAAATAAATTTTGCATTAGAAAATGAGAAGCCAGCCAAGAACAGGGAATTAAACAGGACCCATATTGAAAGTGTAATGTCCCTTCATTCTAGTAATACAGTATGAAAGGCAGTAATAAAGATATTATAAAGATATTATATTATAAAGATAAATAATTTTTATTAAAAAGAAGAATGATGTTGGGATGATTGTATTTGAAAATCCTCTTGGCAGGTACCTCCTAAGAAAGCTTGTTTTAGTGCCCCACAATTTTATAATAAAAAATATGTTTAAAAAATAATAAAAAAAAAAAAAAAGAAGAAAGCTTGTTTTAGATGTTTGGGGTTGGAGTCTTGAGGAAAACCAAAAAAGACAATAGAATGAGGGTGTGTCCTGTTCAAATAATTAGCTTTAGAATGGCTAATAGAGTGCATAACGAGTGTTTTAGATTAATGATAATTTATAAGGTGTGAAGAACATTTTCTTTTTAATTAGTCACTTTTATTTTGGTAGAGAAGACGTCTTGCTTTGCTGCCTAGGCTGGAGTATAGTGGTGCAATTGTAGCTCCCTGCAGCCTTAAACTCTTGGCCTCAAGTGATCCTCCTGCCTCAGCCTCCTGAGTATCTGGTGCTAACAGATGTGTGTCACCACTCCTGGCTAATTTTTAAAATCTTTTTGTAGAGACAGGAATCTCACTATGTTGCCTAGACTGGTTGTCAGTCTTGAACTCCTGGCCTTAAATGATCCTCCTGCCTAACCTCCCAAAGTTCTAGGATTATAAGCACGAGTCTAGTGAGTCACTTTGAAATACATTTGTTTTGGCCTGGCTTGGTGGCTCAGCCTGTTATCCCAGCACTTTGGGAGACTGAGGTGAGTGAGTTGCCTGAGCTGGTGGGTTCAAGACTAGCCGGGGCAGCTTGGTGAGACCTCATCTCTACAATAAATTAAAAAAATTAGCTGGGTGTGGTAGTGTGCACCTGTAGTTCCAGCAACCTGGAAGGCTGAGGTGGAAGGATCTCCTGAGCCCAGCAAGTCAGTGCTGGGGTGGCTGTGAGCCTGACAGTACACTCCAGCCTGGGTGACAGAGTGAGACTCCAACTCAAAAAAAAAAGAGAAGAAATACATTGTTTTATAGAACAGCTACTATAATCCTGAAAATAAGTTTCTTAAAAGTTATTACTAGATGAAACTTCTCTGAGACAGTTGTAATTTGGGCACAAGGAAAGTATACTATGCCTCACATTATTTTGATTACCATTTTGTAGTAGAGCACAATTAAATACAATATCATTCATTACGTACATATACTTTTCTTGTGTTAGTGAAGTACTGTATCTTGTTTCTTTTTCCATTACGATATATGCTTTATAGATGATTACTATACCCATGATTAATACAAACATAAAAATCACTCTGTATTCTCTTGTTTACTGTTAAGCAGAAATCAAAGAACATTCGGCAGAAGAGGATGCTGAAGCAGAAGTAGATAACAGCAAACAACCTGTTCCCGCTCTTCAGCGATCTGTGTCTGAGGAATCTGCACACTCCCTGGTCTCTGTTGGTGTAGAAGCCAAAATCAGGTTAGAGAATGAATGTGTTTGGATTGGTTGTTAGGGACAGGAAAAAGGCAGTGAATTGACTAAGAGGTAATTCAGGGAGTACGAGTTTGGGATGTAAATCTGGATGGAATGTTATCATTTAATTGCTGTAAATTTGAGGCTGATACCTCTGTGTATAATTGGGGTGAGTATTTCTGTGGGCCTACATGCTTGTAGAGCAGGGCAGTACACTAGGGTTTTGCTCTAGTCACCCCAGGACAGTACACAATATTAATAGTACGTTATTCTTGGCAAAAGGAATTACTATGAGGACATTGTAACCTATCAGTGTATAATTCAGCTTTGGAATCTTGTGGTTTTCAGACCCTATTTGAAAGACATGAATAAAACTATTGAATTATCAATTGAATGTTTCCATCTTCTTGGAATGTTTTCTTCTGGCTTTAGGTATACCTCCCCATTTTGTCTTTCCCTGGTTGCTGTGGAGACTCTCTACCTTTATAATGTTAGAGTCCTAAGGGCTGAGTCCTCAGATATCTTATCTACTTTTTGTCTGTGTTTACTCCCTGGGAAACAAAGTTCATTCATTCTGAAAACTGTAATCCCTCTGTTTGTCCTTAGGAGTCTCACATGAATGTTTGCATCGCTCTTTGCCTGAACTCCAGACTTTCATGTCTGCCTGTCTGCTTGACATCTCCATGTGAAAGCATACTGGACTCCTCACTCTGAACATGCCTCAAACCACTCTTCTTGTTTTTTTTTGAGTTGGAGTCTCATTCTGTTGCCTGCGCTGGAGTGCAGTGGCACGCTCATGGTCGCCACAGCTTGACCTGCTGGACTCAGGCAATCCTTCTGCCTCAGCCTTCCAAGTAGCTGGAACTACAGGCTGGCGCCACCACACTCAGCAAATTTTTTGATTTATTGTAGAGATAAGGTCTCACCAAGTTGCCCAGGCTGGTCTTGAACCCCTGAGCTCAGGCAATCCTCTCTCCTCCTCCTCCCAAAGTGCTGAGATTACAGGCTTGAGCCACCACGCCCGATCCTCAAACTGTCTTGATTCTGCGTCTGTCCCTGCCCCAGTTCTGCTTCTCCCCAGGATTTCCCCATTTCAATAAATAATACCAATATTTACTCAGTAGTTTAGACCAAAAACTTTGAAGTTAATCCCTGCTTTCTAACTTTGTTATATCTCACAGCTCAACATCAGAAGAGAATCCAAATAAGTTCTTACCATCTTAACTTGCCTACTATCTTGGATTTTTTTTTTAAACACTTAGAAACAATTAATTTTGAGACATGGTCTTGCTGTGGTACTCTGGCTGGTCTCAATCTACTGGCCTCAAATCATCCTCCTGCCCCAGCCTTCCAAAGTGTTTTAGGCTGGCTCACTCGCGTGTGTTCTCTCTCCCTCACCGCCCCCCACCCTCCCACCCCCATCACCCAGGCTGCAGTACAGTGGCACATGACCACCCTAGCCTCGACCTGCTGGGCTCAGACAATTCTTCTGCCTCACCCTTCCATGCAGCTGGAACCACAGGCACACACCACTAATTTTTTGATTTATTGTAGAGATGAACCTTCCCAAGTTGCCCAGGCTTGTCTTGAAGCCCTGGGCTCAGGCAGTCCCCTTGCCTTGGCCTCCCAAAGTGCTGGGATTGCAGGTGTGAGCCACCGCTCCCAGCTCTGCCTATTCTTGGTTCAAACCACTGTTGTCCTTAAGAGGCCTTTTGATTAGTCTTCCTGTTTCTTCTCTTTACCTTTCCACAGTCCAGTTTGTTCATAGTACAGTGACTAAAATTATCATTCTAATAATGATAATCAGGTCTCCCTTCCATACTGTCTTTAATTAAATTAAATATTTTTGAGTTATAATTTCAAGTACTTACCATATCTATTAGGCATGATCTGATCTGGTTCTGGCTGTCTCTCTCATTTCATTTGTCACTGACTGTGCTCTTACCACTTTGGCTTCACTGCTTTTACACATGCTGATCAGGTTTCTGAGTGCCTTTGCCCTTGCCCTGCTCCCTGTTACCCGGCTTACCTCCTCAGGGAGGTCTCATCATCTGCTGGTAATACTGAGTTCCTTGGAAGGGTGGTGTCTAACTTGGTTTCAGTCAGCTCAGGAAAAAGAGCACACATGTGAAGTGAGGTAAAGAATATACAGGTGTGTGTTATGCTGTAGTCTTTTTCTCCTCCATGTTTTTTGGGAGATTTGAACATTTTCAAAATAAAAGAATAGGATAGAAAATAAAACAGCAGCCTCCGCCATATTTTACACAGTAATACTGCTTTGTTTTTGGTGGCATTTATTATTTCTTGACAGTTTGTTTGATGATTTGTCTCCTTGACTGTCCTGTGAGATCTGTGAAGGCAGGTACTTAGTCATCCAGCTTTATTCAATATTCTGTCTTCCCCCACCTAATAGTCCCTGATGAAGATTAGGTCTGCTTCTGGAACCCATTATAGTTCTGTCACTGACTGTGCTCTCAAGTCTTAACTTCCTTGCCTGGTTGTTCTGCAGAACTTAACAACAGGCTATGTCTGACTAACTTATCTTTGTGTTTCCTGTGTCTAGCATGGTAATTGTCGCTTTGCTGGTCTTCACCAAATACTTGAAGAAATAATGAAAGTTAAAAACTATTCATTAATTTATGAAAATTTCATCTATAATAATCATAGCCTTTCAAACTAGTAGAAGAAAATAGATCACTCTATAGCTGGCTGTCCATTTAAAAAATAAAGTTAGATTGATACTCGCACCATACAGAAAAATAACTTTGAAGTGGATTAATAAAAAATAAATTGTTATTTATTTATTCTGGACTGTACTACTGTCATCTTCCTTAGACAGGAAAGAGCAAATGTACACCCGAATGCCAGCATACTGACTTTTAGTCCAGGCTTTACCACTTTTTGACCTTTATTTATTTATTCATTTTTATCTCCCTTTCTCCAACTTCATTAAAATAGAATGAGTAGGTTGAATTCAATGAATTAAGTTCAATATTAAAAATGTTCTGGAATAATTTACAAGTAACTTATTATGATTAATAGGATTTTAGCAAGATTGCCAAGTACAAAATCGAAACAAAAATCACTTGTGTTTTATATATCAGGAACAGAGGTAAGCAGTACTTTTTAGAAAATTATTTTCTGAAAATATCAACATCATATGACTAGGATTATATGCAAAAATGTGAGTGAGACCCTTATGGAGAAAATCATAAAACTTTTTGGAACGATAGTAAAGAATACTAACATCATAGAAATAGAAGTACTGTAGAAAATTCAGTCTTTCTCAATTGATACGTGAAATCATGAAAATTCTGGCTGATTATGGTATTATATGGTAATTCTAGTTTTACTTTTCTTAAAAACTTCCATACTATTTTCCATAATGGCTATACAAATTTATGCCCTGCAACACTGTACAAGAGTCCCCTTTTCTCTGTGTCCTTCCCAACATTTATCTTTCATCTTTTTGATAATAGCCATTTGAACAGGTGTCAGGTGATAATCATTGTGGCTTTAATTTGCATGCCTAATTAATGGTGCTGAACATTTCTTTATGTACCTGTTGGGCATTTTAATGTGCTCTTGTGAGAAGTGTCTGTTAAGGTCCTTTGCCCATTTTTAAAATCAAGTTATTTGTTTTCTTGCTATTAAGTTGAGACCTCTCTGTCTGTCTCTCTCTCTCTCTCCCCTTCTACGTGTGTGTGTGTGTGTGTGTGTGTGTGTGTGTGTGTATGTGTGTGTGTGTGTGTGTATGTTACATGTTTTAATGTTATATGTTTTTAGATTACGTTATTTAGTCGGTGTCTCTGTCGTCCAGGCTGGAGTGTAGTGGCAAGATCACGGCTTACTGCAGCCTCCATCTCCTGGGCTCAGGGGATCCTTCTGCCTTAGCCTCTTGAGTAGCTGAGACTACAGGCATTGGCTAATTTTTTGATTTTTTAATGTAGAGACAAGGGACTTACTATGTTGCCTAGGCTGGTCTTGAACTCCTGAAATATTTTTGATGTTAACCCTTTATCAGATGTGCTGTTTGCAGATATTTTTTTCTTTTCTGTGGGTTATCTCTTCATTTTGTTTGTTGACTCCTTTGCTGTGCAGAACTTTTTAGTCTGCCATTTCATTTGTCTATTTTTGCTTTTGTTGCCTGTGCATTCAGGGTCAAATTCAAAAAATCATCACCCAGAACAATGTCATGGAACTTCTGCCTGTGTTTTTTTCCAGTAGTTTTATAATTTCAGGTGTTAAGACTTTTAGCCATTTTGTATATGGTGTGAGAGTGGTCCAATTTTATGCCTGTACATGTGGGCATCCAGTTTTTCCCATCACCATTTAGTGAAGAGACTATTCTTTATCTGTTGTGTGTTCTCGACACCTTTGTAAAAAATCCATTGAGGGTAAACATGTGGGTTCATTTCTGTGCTTTCTATCCTGTTCTCTTGATTTGTCTGTTTTTATGCCAATACCATACTGTTTTGATTAAAATTGTTTTGTAATGTCTTCAAATCAGGGAGTGTGAAACTTTCAGCTTTGTTCTTTTTGCTCAAGACTGTTTTGGCTATTGGGGGTCTTTAGTGCTTCCTTATGAATTTGAGTATTGTTTTTTTCTATTTCTGTGAAAATTGACATTGGAATTTTGACAGAGATTGAAATGAATCTGCAGATTATTTTGAGTGGTATGGACATTTTCACAATATTAATTCTTCCAATTCATGAACACAGGATATCTTTTTCTTTTTTTGTGCTTTCTTACATTTTCTAAATCAAGCTGAGCACAGTGGCCAGCACTTTGGGAGGCAGAGACAAGAGGACTGCCTGAACTCAGCAGGTTGAGGCTGTGGTGGCCATGAGCATGCCATTGCACTCCAGCCTGGGCAACAAAGTGAGATTCTGACTAAAAAGAAAAAAAAATCATTAATCAGTGTTTTATAGTTTTCATTGTACCTCATAGTTTTCATTGTACATCATTGTACAGGTATTTTAACTCAGTTAAAATTACATCCAAATATTTAATTTTTTTTGTTTCTGTTGTAAGTGGGATTAATTTCTTAATTTTCTGTAGAGATAGGTTCCTTTTAGTATATAGAAATGCTACTGAATTTTGTATGTTGACTTTGTATCATGCAACTTCACTTAATTTGTTTTGCTTATCAGTTTTGTTTTGTTTTGAGACAGTGTCTTGCTCTGTTATCCAGGCTGGAGTGATACTCACTGAAGCCTCCATCTCCTGGGCTCAAGTGATCCCCCTGCCTCAGCCTCCTGAGTAACTGGGACTACAGGCATGTACCACCATGCCCAGCTAATTTTTATATCTGTTTTATAACTATTTTGTAGAGATGGATTTCACTATGTTGCTCAATCTGGTCTCAAGCTTCTGGGCTCAAGCAGTCCTCCCACCTCAGCCTTCCAAAGTGCTGGGATTACACCATACCTGGCATGTTTATTAGTTTTACCGTTTTTTGATGATGACTTTAGGGTTTTCTGTATATATAAGATCGTATTGTTAGCAAATAGAGACAGTTTCATTTCTTCTTTTCTTATTAGGATGCCTTTTATCCTTTTCTCTTGCCTAATTGCTCTGTGACTTCTAGTACTATATTGAAATGAAGTGGTGAGAGTGAGCATTTATTTATTTTATTTATTGCATGTATAGTTATTTCCCTTCTTCATTCTGTGTCTTGTTTGCATTTTGCATGCTTTGTCCTCAGATTTCTTTTTAAGAGTTTGATTTTGCTTTTGTTGATCTTCTCTATTTTTAGTTGTTTGTCTCACTGATTTTGTTTTACTTGGGTTTTTTAATCTTTTATTAGTGTCCTTGTTTGTTTTGTCCCCAGCTTCTATAATTGAAAGCTTAAATCATTTATATGTAAACTTTAAAATTTACTGTTGGTTTATGTACATGTGTAAGCTCCCTTTCAATTACTACTTTAGCTGCATCCCATAAATTTTTACATTCAATATTCATCATCATTTCATTCTAGATATTTTGATTTCCATTTTAACTGAAAGATTTTTTTGGCAATATGTTTTCTAGTTTCCAGATACGTGGAAAATTTTAAGTTATTTATTTGTTAGACATTTTTTAGTTTTACTGTTATTGTTAGATAGTATTATCTGTATGATATTGGTCATTTGGAATGTATTATGTCTTCCTTTATGGTCTAAAGGAATAGTTTAGTATGCTTGAAAAGTATGTGATCTTGATTGTGGATAGAAGCAAATATAGTATTTCAAGCTTATTTATTATACTCAGATTATTAATAAATAATAATAAGTAATAAACAATGAAGATGTTCCGAATCTGCATAATTTTTTATCTGTTTGATATAGTATTTTCTGAGAAAATTGTTAAAATCTCCCACTGCTGTTGATTTAGTTTTCACTTTACAGTTTTGTTAGTTCAGATAGAGCATCTCTTACCAAGACTGCTTGAGACCAGATATGTTTCAGATTTTAGATTTTTTTCCCCCAGATTTTGGAATATTTGCATATACATAATGAGATGTTTTGGGGATTGGACTCAAGTCTATACATGAAATTAATTTGTATTTTATATATTCCCTGTGTACATGGCCTCAATGTATTTTTATACAATATTTTACAATAACTTTATGTACGAATCAGAGTTTGTATTAAGGACTTATGTGGTGACTGTTCTGCTGTGGCATCATGTTGGCACTTACAAAGTTTTGAATTTTAGAGCTTTTCAGATTAGGGATGCTCTCAAGCTATAGGTACTTGAATCGTTCTGAGGTCTATTTTTATGAGTATATGGTTATGATAGATATTTCTTTTACTACCATCGATCATTTTGTTATCATATAACATCTTTTATCATCTCTGATGCAGTGTTTTCTTTTAGATGTAACTTTCTTTCTTTTTTTTTTTTTTTTGAGTTGGAGTCTCACTCTGTTGCCCAGACTGGAGTGCAGTGGCCGCTCCCGGCCACCGCAGCCTCGACCTGCTGGGCTCTGGCATTCCTTCCGCCTCAGCCTTCTGAGTAGCCGGAATTACAGGCATGCGCTACCACGCCCGGCTGATTTTTTGATTTATTGTAGAGAGGAGGTCTCGCCTGCCCAGGCGGGTCTCGAACCCGCGGGCTCAGGCAATCCACTCACCTCAGCCTCCCAAAGGCGCAGGATTATAGGCTGAGCCACCGAACCCGGCTTAGATGTAACTTTCATTTTGTCTGATAGATCATTGCCACTCAAACTTTGTTTTGGTTCATATTTGCCTGGTGTCTTTTTAACCTCCTTTTCTATCAACATTTTCGTCCTTGGTTTATGTGTCATTTTCCTTTTTATTTTCAACTTTTTTGCATCTGATTGAAACATAAATGAAGCATAAATCTCAAAAATTGTTATGTAATAGTTATATTAAGATTTGGTTTGCCATGTTTTAAAATGTTTTTCAGTCCCTGTATACATGATTTTTCTCGGTTGTGCATGAGAGGTGCTAAATCATCTGTTTCCCCCTTCTATTCAACGCTTCTGCTTCCATTCTCTCCTCACATCCACTAGCCACTTAACCCAGGAATCATTTAAATTCATATTTTTTATCTCTCTTTGTGTGTGGTATACTTTGTGCATAATGAATGTTCCATCAAGTGGTGAAATAAAACTGTCACCACATGTTTTACAGAGCTGTCATGCCGTTGGGTGATTATTAAACTCTACCTTCTTCCCTATCCTTGGGTTTATTTTCTTTATTATTTTTAATACTTTGCTTGTTTTTTACTCATGTTTAAAATAAAATAAAGACTTTTTTTAAACTACATACTAAACATTTTTGATTTGTTTTATATATGCTACTTTTAAAAATCATGCTTGAGGGGAACATAATATCACCAAGGGTACTTGATCCTAAGCTAGGTGAAGTGAGGACCAATGGAAGGCTCAAACTTCACCTGTATGTAGATCACTTATGTACCTAATTCTGACCTGTACCCCACATCCTTAAAAAATAAATAAAATAAAATTAATGCTTGAATTGCAAATGTATAATTATTACTAAACTTACTTGTTCTTATGAATAATAACCAGTCTATAGAACATATATTGGAAGACTTAGCATGCACTGAAGACAGTCTTACAGCACAAGTATCCTATAGTTGTCTGTCACTTAAAATAGTTGAATAAAACTACTTTTTTCCTTCTCTGTCTTCTTCACTTTTCATTTCTACCAGTGAACAGCTCTGCGCTTTTTGTTACTGTGGGGAAAAAAGTTCCTTAGGACAAGGAGACTTAAAACAATTCAGAGTAACACCTGGATTTATCTTGCCATGGAGAAACCAACCTTCTAACAAGAAGGACGCTGATGACAACAGCAATGGAACCCATGAGAAAATACAAAACTTGGCATCACGAAAACAAAGAGGACAGAGAAAGTAAGCAGTTTTGCATTTAAGTTGTTGAAATGAATTGAGACTGTATATAATTTATTTTCACTGTGATGTTTATAAATTTTCAAATAAGATTGTTACTGTTGAACAGTTTCTCATGTTTTCCACACTTACGGGCTACTTATGGCTCATCATTACCACAGTTAACCCAAGAAATAGTCCCTTCCTCACGTTGCTTATTTTTAAAAAGTTTAACTTAGTTGTGTCTTAACGATCCAGTTATCACAAAAGTTAACTTTTGGAAGAAAACTTTAAAGAATGTAGCACAAACTGAGAGGGAGTTTATGGAATTTATAAATGGAAAGAAGATAAAACAGATCAATGAAGTTCTTTCCTTTCTCCAGATATGTTTCTAATTGTAAAAATACAACACAACACAATAACAAATCCAGAATTGGTTTTCACTGTTGATGTCTTTTGTGTATTCATTCATTGGCTCATGCAATCATTTAATTAATTAATTAATTAATTTTCAGAGAATGTTGAGCTGTCCAATAAATTCTCTTTCTGTTTTTTGTTTTGAGTCAGAGTCTCACTCTATCGCCCAGGCTGGAGTGCAGTGGCACGCTCATGGCCTCCACAGCCTCCGCAGCCTCAACAGCCTCGACCTGCTGGGCTCAGGTGGTTCTTCTGCCTCAGCCTTCCAAGTAACTGAACCTATAGGCATGTGCCATCATGCCCGGCTAATTTTTTCATTTATTCTAGAGACGAAGTCTCACCAAGTTGCCCAGGCTGGTCTTGAACCCTTGGATTCAGGCAATCCTCTTGCCTCCCAAAGTACTGGGATTACAGGCTTGAGCCACTGCGCCTGGCTGTAAATTCTTATCATAGTACAGTTGTTTCTATTTATTTCTCCCCCCCCCTTTCTTTCCCCTATCTAAAGTTAAAGAAGATGCTTTTTTTTTTTTAAAAAAGGGAATTTCCTAAGATATTTGTATATTTATATATGTATGTCTTTATTCATGGGCACACTGTAGTTTCCTAAAACTTTTGTCTAATATAGTTTTCAATACTTGTACAGTTGTGTTTAAAGACCATCATAATATGGGGACTTGCCTCTGCTAGTTAAGGGCCTAGAAGTTCTGTAGTTGATGAGAAAGTATAATAATTTAGTGTGCAAGGCTAACAAGCTCAGCCTCTTTGAGGGTGATGATGTAATCATACAAGTGCTTATCTGGCTTACATCCAAATTTAAGTACTGAAGCATTGTTGTGTTGTGTTTACTTGATTGGCTCCTTATTTTGAACTGCTGCCAATGCTTTGAAGACCTGAAGAAGGAAATGAAACAATAACAAAGATAATCTTTTAAAAGAATTTAAGGTGGAATGGTTTAAGGAAGCTTAGAAGTACTGTAATTGGAGAGATGTGATGTTATCAGTTGAGTACTCATATCTTAATAAAATATATAAAAAGTCTAGCAAACTTACAATGTCCATTAGCAATTAGCAAATTTAATGGACTGAACTAGACTATACCATCTATCCTCATAAATCTTATAGTCTCATATATTTTATGCCTTGAATAATGGCAATTATGTAAAATCTTGTCCTGAGAAATAGAATTGACCTTCGTTTACTTATTTTATAAACAAAGTTAATTTTTGTGACAATCTTATGAGCTTAGAAAATTATATAAGACTAGCCTTTTTTTAATGAAATAACTTTAGTGCTTACCAAGTTATTAAATAATGATAACAAGCCAGTTAATTAAGTACACTTAGAAAATTTGGCATTATTTAGGGGTAGGCAGTTAATTGAACTAATTAATGATTTAAAATATTTACAAAATAGTTGCTAATGAAGTATAAATAGCTTGTTAATTTAAAAAAGTTTACAAAGAAGTTTTTAAAAAAGTTTTTCCCTCTTGTTTTCACTGTATATAAGAATATATAATCAAAGATTATTTTCCTCTTTTTTTTGTTTTATAACTTAAGATTTTGTGAGTATGTTTACTTCTTTTGATACTCTTTTCTTAAGCTGGGCTACTGTCATCTTTAGGATTGACATTGGTGTCTTTCTGATATGGTGTATACATACAAGCCAGTCTTAAAACCTGAAAGTCGAATTTGATTAGGCTGCCAGTTAGGAACTGATTAGTAATAAACTGGTTAGTCATTCCATTGCTTTTTAGACCCCTCCACCCCAACAAATGCTAGTGCAAGCAATCTGTTAACACATTAGTATTTATAGACGAACTGTTAGCCTTTTTTCTCCCAATAAAATAACAATGATTAGTAATGGAGAATATATTTGTAGAATTGGAGATTATATTTATAGGAAAGAATTTGTTCTCATTTTACTGTGGGCATTTATAAAAATCAAGAATTGAAGTTAGCATGGCATGCTGAGCCTTTTAAAACAAGTTAATCTATGCATTTCTAATGCTGAACATTAAAAATTACTGGTTATTTTTATATGGTTTGATATTTAAATGTACTTATTGAAATATGTTAATACTTTTTTTCTTTCAATGATTCCAGGTATAAAAAAGTTTAGTACCCTGGTCATTGTGCTGATTTTCTCTTAATAGGAATCATGATAAATATCCAGCATACAGAAGTGCAGTGAGTTATGATCTATATTCAATAGTGATTTAATCCAGAATTATGATCAGGTTAAATACAATGATATTAGGAGAAGATTTAAGTTTTAGTGGTAGTCATCTGGTTTCCCATATTTAATGTTAAACACAATACTCGTCTTTGTTTTCTTAATGATCTTAAATAATACCTAAAGTGTTAGGGCTTGAAGTCTGAAATCTCCCATATGTTGTATATCTTATTCAGTGTTCATTTTTTAGAGTATAGTTTTTGCTGTTATACTGTCTTTCTTATTCCACATGCCTTTAGTAGCTATTTCGCTTTTGCTTTTTTCTTTTGATTTGTGATGTACGGTCTTGATTCAGAGTACTTCGCAACGTCATGCCACACAGTCCAGCTGTTGAGATTTGTTGAGGGGACCATAAGAAAGCTACGGCTGACATGTTCCACTCCTGCCTTTCTTTTCACACTTTATAGTGGGTTTTCATTTTTCCTGAGAAATAACCTTTCTTTAAGGAAAATTAACTGCCACTTATGCTGTGGCAGTTCTCAGTTACAACAAAGCAAATTTAAAACTTGTGATTTGATCAAGTTTTGTTTTATAAGCATTTAAGTAAATCCAAAGGAAATATTCATTTTATATGTTAAAATTTATGATTTCTGACTAGGATGAGAGTCAGTTTTTAAAAAATTATATTAAGGAATGAAAAAATAAATTTACAACTTAATTTTAATACTTTCCTATGGGTTGGAGACTTTTTTCAGTTGTTACTTACATGATATGATATAGCAACCCAGTTTAATATTATACTATGAATAATAATAACAGATGAATTCTAAAAGTTTTATGACGTTAATGCCTAATAATTAAAATTGATTTAACAATATGTTGTATTTAAATTATTATAAAATGAAACAATTTTCTACTTGTTTTCATTTTTACAGCTGTTTTATTTTATTTTATTTTCAGAGAACGATCTCCTCAGCAGAATATAGTCACCTGTGTAAGTGTAAGCACCCAGACAGCTTCAGATGAGCAGGCTGGTAAACTATGGGATGAACTCAGTCTAGTTGGCCTTCCAGATGCCATTGATGTCCAAGCCTTATTTGATCCTACAGGTATGAGCCTGTCTTCAGCAAAACTGCCTCTTGATTCTAGAAGCATTTTAATTTTAGGGCATTATCAATGTACTCAATAGTACCTTTCACCTGGAAATAATTAGGAGTGATATTTAAAAAGTCATTATTAAATATGCCTCAGTAGGTAAAAGAAATGAACTGATTAGGTTTTCCTAAGTCTGCAGGGTACAACACCAGAATGGATACTTTGTATAAATATTTGCATTTCCTCTTCTTTTTTTTTTGCAGTCACCCTTGTGTATATAACAGTGCCATGGAAATCTGACAGTTGAGGAAAGAGAAAAATGTAAAGGGATATGTGAGAATATGGGGTACATGGTAGTCTGGATCTATTTAATGTAGGAATGAAGAACAATAGATCTTAGCCATGTAGATTATCCTACTATAGCAGTGTTGTAACTTACACTCATGATATAGTGCTTTGGGGATTTTAAATAAATCTCTTTCTGTAGTTGAACTGCACATTGATAAGTGCTTCAAGTATGAAGAATTTGAAGATGAAACTGTTATTAATGATTGATGTGTGCTCTCACCAGGTGATAGAGGAAAGTAGAAGATTATATGTAGTCTGTTTTCCATGCATTCCCTTTGTCACCAACAGAGTATTAAGCTGTTGGTTTTATATAAAGATACCAAATAAATATTTTATGTAATATTTAAATAAAATGACTAAAAGCTAATTTTGTTTGTTGAAGAATTAATGACTAATTCAGTCATTCTCAAACTTTTGTGTGCATCAGAATCAACTAGAAGTTTTGTTAAAACAGATTGCAGGGCCCGGTGCACAAGTTTTTGATTCATTATTCAGTTGTGATCTGAGATTCTTTATTTTGAAGAAGTTTCCCAGATTGCTATTTATGCTGTCAGCTTAGGGCCTTGGCTAAAGTTTGAGACAGGCTGCTTTAATAGTGTCACAAATATAGGATGCCATTGTTTATTTACGTATTAAAGTTGATTTTGGAGTTTTATGTCTTTATTTATTAGCTTTAATATTTGCTTATTTGCTTCTATTCATTTTTCCCATTTTAGGCACTTGTTGGGCTCATCACCGTTGTGTGGAGTGGTCACTAGGAGTATACCAGATGGAAGAACCGCTGTTAGTAAACGTGGACAAAGCTGTTGTCTCAGGGAGCACAGAAGTAAGTCGACAAAACAAATATTTAAGCCACAATTTTGTAGCATTTACTTTAGTCAAAGATTTACTTGCAAAAATTATTTATTAAATTATTGCTATAGTGTGCGTAAAAACTCTCAAAATGGGAAATTATTATTTATTTCTGAATAATATGTGCAAACCACTAGAATATAGTATGTTAAATTATTCAATAAACTTAAATCTTTAAAATAAGTTTTTTCTATTTAAGTCAAATTAAAATTTTAGAATTGAAATTTACTAACTATACTTATACATTTATGTGGTTACTCTTTAGGATAAATGACTTAAATAAAGGAGATGATTTGACAAGTCTTTAGCTACAATGTGGACTAACCCTGTGTAATATTTTAAACATTGATTAAAATATTTCTTTTTAGTCAAGTTGGCAGTCCAGTTCTTCTTTATTGCATTATCCCAAAGTAGTATGCATACAGTTTGCCGTTTTTCAGTGCTTTCATTGTGATTTTCGTGCAATTTTCAAATGATCACAAACATTAATGCAACAATTACCTCCCATCTATAGACAGTGAACACTATGAAGTGATATTGTTTGGCTATCTACAAATTCCCTTTGGTTTTTGACTGGTATAGTTGGGGAAATTAGATAGCCCTTTCAAAGTAATACTAAAACTGGAAATTTTGACCATAGAAACTATGTGGGCTTTAATAGATGGAATACAGGTAAAACTGTAGAAACTATATAGGTAAAACTTTCAAAATTTAGTTTCAAGTAATGATTCAACTATTACAACATCAGTTTTACTTTGATTATCAAAATGACCCAATTTATATGGATGGGTAGCTGTCACCTCAAGGATAGTGAAGTCAGATGCTTGTTTTAGAATTTTGAAATTATATGACTGGGTACAGTGGCCCATGACTATTATCCTAGTACTTTGGAAGGCTAAAGTGAGAGGATTGCTTGATGCCATGTGCTTAAGACCAGCCTGGGCAACATACTGTGAGACTCCGTTTCTATTTTTTAATAATGAAAAAAAAGAAAGAAATGAAATTTGACATTATGTTTAAGTGCATATGTCATCAAATTTGAATAATAGAATACTTAATAGTATATTCCTCGTCTGTACATACTTAGAGAGCTGGATTAAAGACAGTGATAGTTCAATGAGAGCCGTATCTTTTATGGACTACTTCAGAAGTAGTTTTGGGTTACTTTGTAATAGTGAAAAGTTTTAAAGGGAAAGCAATGAAATACAAGCTAAAATGAACTTTGTGATGTTGGATTAGAAACAGAAATCAATATAAACTCATAGTGCTTGACACTTCTAAAGACAAGAGTACAGTTAAAGAAAGCTTGCTTCACTCTGTTATTTTTGGAGAGAAAATACAGCTTTTGTTCTTTAAATGCTTACTGATGAATATTTAGTTGGTATTTAGAGATCAAAGTTGTACCATACCTCTGGCAGAGAAAACATAGGGCCTTAGGAGACATTGTATTCCTTTTGAATTTGGCTAGACATTAGTATGAGTGGCCTAAGCAAGTCAAATGCACATAGAGTACTTGGAGTAGGTAGACTGTGAAGAGATTAGAAGGGAATTAGTGGCAGCTTTGTCAAACCTTTACCTCTCTGCTAGATTCAACCACTCAAAACTTGTGTAGTGTCAGTCTTTTATTACTATTTCTGCTGGGTTTTGTGTGTATGTGTATTTTCATTTTTCTTTCTTTCTTTTATTTTATTTTATTTTTTGATTTTTTTGAGTTGGAGGTGTCACTCTGTCTCCCAGGCTAGAATGCAGTGGCAGGATCTCGTGGCCCACAGCCCCGACCTCCTGGGCCAAGGCAATCCTTCTGCCTCAGCCTCCTGAGTAGCTCAGACTATAGGTACATGCCATCATATTGGGATAATTTTTTAATTTTTTTTGTAAGGACAAAGTCTAGTTACGTTTTTCAGGCTGGTCTCAAACCCTGTACTCAAGTAATCCTCCCATCTTGGCCTCCCAGAGTGCTGGGATTACAGGCGTGAGGCACCACACCCAGCATCATTTTTCTGTATTATCAAATAGGACAGAATGGACCAGTTAGGTAGAACTTTGCCCCTAAGAAAGGAAGATTTGTCTCATTGACAAAAATTCAAACGTATACCAACACATTTGTTGGCAAGGCTGGGGGAAAAAGTACTCTCATTCTTTGCTGGTGGGGGATGCAAATTGGTACAAGTCTTCCACAGGTAAATTTGGTGATACCTAATAAACTACATATGGTAAGTACCTTTTTGATCCTTCTAGGAATCTACCCTGAATAGGCCTCTAAGAATACAAAAATATACTGTTAATTGTTATTAATCACAGCATTGTTTATGTTATAAAATATTGAAAATGGATTAAATGCCCACCCATGGGTGAATGGTTGACTAAACTGTCTTACCTCCATACAGTGGTGTACCATGTAGCTGTAAAAACCAGTGAGGAATAGCTCTGTGAACTGATGTGGAATGGTTCCCATTATATATTATTAAGTGAACAAAAAGTGCAAAAGAACATCTATGGTGTACCGCTACCCTTTATTTAAGAAAGAATGAGATATAAGGAAATATACATGTATATGTTCACATTTGTGGAAAAGAAATACAGGAAGGATAAATCAGAACCTAAAGAGATTGGTTACTCATGGGGGGTTGTGGAAGGGGTGAAAAGAATGATGTAAGATCTGTGTAGCATCAATGAAATGTGAGTGACAATTCTCAGAGTGTTTATTTTTGTATGACTAACTCTTAGAACCATGGGAATGTTTTTTGTTTTTGTTTTTTGAGTCGGAGTCTTACTCTGTTGCCCAGGCTGGAGTGGCATGCTCATGGCCACCGCAGCCTTGACCTGCTGGGCTCAGGCAGTCCTTCTCTCTTGCCTCAGCCTTCCAAGTAACTGGAACTGCAGGTGTGCGCTACCATGTCCGGCTTATTTTTTGATTTATTGTAGAGATGAGGGCTCATCAAGTTGCCCAGGCTGTCTCTAACCCCTGAGCGTATGCAATCCTTTTGCCTCAGCCTCCCAAAGTGCTGGGATTACAGGCTTGAGCCACCGCTCCTGGCCGGGAATGTTTTACATACTCCCCAGATGAGCAATTACTGCCAACCAGAATGTGAAGGAACCCATAAAGGAATAGCAAAATTCACACTAAAGGGGATAGGGAAGAAAGCAGCTAGCCTAAGTAACTGTAGAAAATGGAATCTTGATAGATAAAGTAAAACTAACGACAAAAAGAACTGTACAAGCATGCTGTAGATTAGTTAATAAATGTATTTCTCATAGGAGTTTGGGTTAAAAGTTCTGAAACTATGGGTATACTGTAAGTGAACAAATATAAGTAAATATATTATAGATAATGAGAGCTAGGTTTCTCAGTGTTGGAATGAGGAATAACAAGTAAGGAAAGGGTAAATGAACTTTGTGGTGTTGTCTTTTATTATTTATACAGACACAGAAATACAGATGTGTGTATATATACATGAATTAATTTGCATATGTGTATTTACTAGCTTTAAGAGGACCTATAAATAGTGACACCCTAGTAGCATTGAGAATATCTAGTGAATATCAATGGAAGGAACCAGAGTTCCTTGAGAATGTAGTTCATTATAGTACTGGTACAGGGAAAATTCAGGGTGAACGTTCATCATCTTGTGGTGCCAGAAAGTAAGAAAGTGCTCAGAAAGGTGGGAACCTGTTGAAAGCACAGGAGCCAACCTGAAGAAACTCCTGAGAACTGGACCAATTTGAGCAACAACAAAAGTAATGATAGTATTGAATTTTCATTTGTAAAATAAAGTAAATGCACATCACTCCTACTTAACACTCTTCAGTGACTTCCCATCTTATTGAGAAAACAAAGTCCCAGCCCTTACTAATGAACAAGGCTCTACATAACCTTCACCACCTCTCCCAAGTACTTCTAAGATCATTCACTGTAACTCTTTCCCTTTGTTTATTTGCTTTAGCCACACTGACCTCCTTGGTCTTCCTCAAGCATACAGAAATATATACAGCTCAGGACCTTTGCAGTGCTGTTCGTTCTCTGTTGAATAATCTTAAATACTGCATAACATGTTCCCTCATATCCTTTGGTATTTATTCAAGAGTCACCTTATCAGTGAGGCCTTTCCTAGGCTTGCTGTCAGAGATTTCAAGTGCCTCCTCATTCTGTAATAACCCTGCTACACTGTTTTCTCCTTTGTATTTATCACCATCTAACACAATGTCTTCTTAATAATGTTATTTATTGTTTGTCTCCTCTCACTAGAATATTAGTGCCATTAGGACAAGGTTTTTTTTTTTCCTTCTTTTTTTTCCTGTTTTGATCATTCTAAATATTTGTAGATTAAATGAATAGCACTGAAGATCATTCATGGAATCATAGGCAGGAAAGACGTTCAGAGTGACCAAAAGTTACTAGAGGTCATCATTGTGGTTAATTATTAAAGAGTGTATATACTTGTAATTGTCTAAAAAAATTCTCTAGATGAGTAAATCTTTACAATTCTATGTGAATAATTGAGAAAGAGGAGGCAGTGAAAATCTTTGCTATCACAGAAATTTCCCTTGGAAGGATGTACATAAATGTGTTGTTGAACCTAGAATACATTTTTATTTTGCCAAAAGGTAAATTTTTCAAATTTGTTGACCTTTATTATGATGAGACATAGCTGAGTGTATTACAATACCTGACTCTATTTTTATTTATTTAGTTTTAGAGTCCAGGTCTTGCTCTATTATGTAGTCTGAAGTGCAGTAGCATGATTATAGCTCATTGCATCCTAGAATTCCTGGGCTGATTCGAGCTTCCCACTTTATACTCCCAAGTAGCTAGAACTACAGGCATGTGCCACTGGCTATTTTTTCTTTCTTTTTTTTTTTACATTTGTGTAGAGACTACCCAGGGTGGTCAAGAACTCCTGGCCTCAAGTGATCCTTCCACCTCAGCCTCACTGAGTCACTGGGATTACGGGCATGAGCCAGCATGGCCCAACC